CTGATCGGTTGTATGTGAAACAGCCGTTAACGGCTGTAGTAACGAGCGGGTCTTTCCTGCCGGGGCGCACGCGAGCAAGAGGTTAAAAGATGTGTATTTCCACTTTCGCAAATTGGGATAACCCCTTTTTGCTACATGTTCCCATTCAAACAGCATATGCTCTCTTGTTTGAGACCGAAACGAAAAAATGTTTCAGGCCGAAACCGAAAGACATTTTGTTATCAACCTTTTTAAAAACAATTCAATTATTTTATTTATTTTTCTTTACTGTTGGGGGGCTCTGGGGAAATATCAGGGGTCTAAACAGACCCTTGATATTTCCCTTTTAAAATAGAAAAAAAAAAAAAAAGAGTCCTCAATCTTTTTGTGCAGCCCCTGTTATGAATGAATAGGAAGCCTTCCTGCCCATTCAAACATTGTGGATACAGTGAGTTACTATGTCCACAATCATGAATATGTGATGTTTGTACACCTCTCCATCCTGAATGGGCTGTCACAGGAGGCAGGGAAAATGGTGGGGAAGGAGAGCTCCAACTCCTTTGGCAGATCACAGCGCTCTCCTCCAATCAGCGTTCTTCATCCTAACACAGGAGGCAGAGTCGGGAGGTGCGGGAGGGAGAGCTCCGCCACCTGTAAGATGACAGCCGACACCACTCGGCATCCTGACATTGCTGTCAGCATCGCTCAGCCTCCTGAAAGCTTCTCTCCTCCTCGCTGAATGCTGGCCTCAGCATCAGAAGGCTGACAGACCGGAGCCCATTGGGGAGCAGAGAAGCTAGGGATAGACTGAATTTTCTGCCTTTATAGCACTTTCTGCAATTTGCCAAAAGTGCCATTTTCGTCCGAAATGTTTCAGTGGATGAAATTTTGGGTGCATCCCTAGTGTAATATTGTTTATAATCACCAGAGGGGTTGGTTTTATTATTTTGTTTGTAGATCAGTGAAATGTTTAAAATGACTTTAGGTTTTGTTTTTTAATTTGAATTGTGTTGATGTGCTTGGTTACCACTAGAGGGACCTTGTGCTATTGGCTCCTCTATAGTAATGTGCAATATGGCTTGGAATCTAGTTGCCTAACAGGTTAAGAAAAAAAGGAGAAGGAAATAATGGGTATATTGTATTTACAGAGGGTTGCCAGTATGACTTCACATATGCCACTACTGAAAAAGTTGTCTGGTGGTGGAAATCATTCAGTAGGCAGGGCTTGTGACATCAGATTGGGAAGAGGTCTGTGTATCACTCTCAGGAGATTGGGTGAGCGCAGGCTACACACATGGGGGGGGGGGATTTATCAGAACTGGAACAGAATCTGGAGCAGTTGCCCATGGAAAACAATCACAAAACAGTGCAAATAGACACATCTCTTGCTGGGCTATTGTATTCTGACAGCATACCACTGTCAGAGTACCCGAATAGTGACAGCACTGGACGACTGAAGATTTTCTCCCAAGCTCCTTCGATTCCTTTTCTGATTGAAGGATGTCAAGCATCCCACCCACGGAGTGTATTTCGTCCGGCTCATCAACAACCAGCTGATATTCGCTCAGTGTATGAACAGCTTAATTCAGAGTGTTTTATGTTTACGATACCAGTCTTAGTTACCATTGTGAGTCCAACTACCTTCTCTATACAAATGATTTTTATTTTGACAGCTGAAATATACCAACTGTAAATACATTTTGCAGACTTGTTTATTGTTTTATCATAACATAGTCTGATTTTCTTTTCTTGGAAAACTCTTACCCAAAAAGCAAAAAAAAAAAGTCAAAAAATGTTTCCCTCCATTTCTATATGCAAATAATAAACATGCAAAAAACAAATAAATAATATGAATAAATGGTTAAAGCCTTTGCAGATTATGAAGGCAGAAAAGAAACGTGGTCTTAAAAGGTGGGTTAATATCAATCTATGAGTTTTCCAGCCAGGTGATACCTCAAATCTTTGTTGCTCCGGTGGGTTTCTCTCTCTCAATTTGACACTCAGTAGAAGTATTTAAAGCTGTTGCATCACTGGAACAACTAGGTAGAGTGAAAATCAGATTCCTTTGTACCTGTAGTGCTTATAGAGGAGTTTGTATGTTTTTTCAGAACTTTCATTTAAAACAGAACAGAAAGGCAGTGAACTTCAAGTAGACACACAGACACACAGACACGCAAATAAAGATACTCACCTGAAAAGGCAAGTCAATAGCATTGCTCCCAATTTGATTGACGTTTGGCAGAGACCCTCCATAGTACTGCCCGCGGCTTTGTCCCAACTGCAAATATTGGGTCTTCTGTAGCTGTAACTAAAAGTGACATTCATCACTTAAGCTGTAGTGAGCATTCCAAACAAATGCTATAATTCACTGACCCAAAATGTATTTTTCTCAAAACGTACTTTTACCTAAATCTTATGAGACTCAAAAAGAAAGCTACCGATACCAAAAAGGTAAAAGATTCTTGCACACCTAAATGGCATTGTGGATGGAAAAAAAAATAGCAAGATTTTTTTTTCTTTCATGTTTAGAATGTTTAGAATTATTGTATTTTACACAGAATCCATTTACATCTAGGAAACTATTTTTAAAGCAGACCTCACACTAAAATGCAAGATCCGCTTATATGGCTGCCCAGTTATAAAAATGCTGCATTATGGCAATACAAAGAAAAAACTATTTAGGAGAAAATCCTGAAAAATACTCCCATGCAGCAAGGTGGCGTTAGTGGGTCTTCTTGTGAGAGTCTGAGAAAGTGAAGGATCCCAAATGTTATGAGAACAGCAGCATACTCTTGTCCTAGTTGGGGTCCTGAGCTTTCCCATGATCGCTTTGTTAGGCCCAGTGATGTCAGTGACAGAAAGCAGACAACCTAGGAGGAGGATAAGTATATTTATTATATTTTCTTTTGGGTTTTTTTCTTTATTTTATTATTAGCAGTATTTTGAAAACTGGGTGGAGGCAGCCAAATATGTGGACCTAGAAACCATTTGGCAGGTAAAATTCTATCAAGTCCTAAAACTTAGACAGCTCTGCCACACCTCTTTTCTCTATGCTGCACTTGCATAACACTTACAGGTGTCCTCCTCACCCCAACCCTGTGACTGGACAGTAAAAGGAGCAAACTGATAAAACTAATCTGTGTCACTCTGCTCTCTCAAATATCAACCTGTTCCATGCACTGCAGCAATCTGACTGCTTCTGCAACATCTTCTTCCTTCTGTCTGAGTTGTACAGGGACAGCAAGAGGCTAATACCAAGTCAAATTCAGGTTGTTTTATTAAATACAGAGATTCATTTTTGTCGTCTATATCTGATAATAGTAACTTTAAACAGCATTTTAGATTTGTGTATACTTCAGCTTTAAAAAACAACAATCTTAGTAGCCTACTAGAACAGTGGGTTCTCTGGGACTGGTCATATAATATATACATAAAAAAGGGAATATGCTTTAATTTTAAATACTTTTTGTTAAGAACCTTTTGTAAACAGGCTTTAAAAACAAACGCTTGTTTTATACAATTTGACAAACCACCTAGAAAACAAACATTGCAAATTAAAATATCTTGCTATAGATACATAGTATATCATCAATTAAGGCAGCAGTAACTTAATAAACCACCCCAACTACTAGGTCATTCAAAACTGAATAGATATATACATTACTGTAAAACTATACACCCTAAATGTAAAAATATTATAGATCACCAAACAAAAAGATTACTGTGGCTTCGGGACCTGATGAGGTTAAACAGGGTAGTTGTTTTGGTATATTATCCTTTACAAACATTTAAAACAAGATGTATCCATAACAGAATATAGAGAGCACAGCAGAACCTGTTTGGTTTCATATTATCTCTCAGATCGAATATGAAGCTGTATTTAACAGAGTGGGGTCTTATGTTAGGAGCTCAATAGCTCAAGTTCAAGTCTTTTTTTTTTAAGAGATCATGTCCCCAGATCATTTCAGTGGAAATGTTCCCATAAGATATGTGCATTTAACATTTTATGCATGTTCTTTACCGGTAAAAGACTCTCGTGTTAAAATACCAGAGACTTCTGCAGGGTGCCAACATCTTGAATGTGATGTCAGCAAGCCCCACAAGACTCAGAGCTGTCACTCAAGGGACGCTCTATAGCAAGGGTAGGCAAACTTAGCACTCCAACTGTTGTGGAACTATAAGGAGGCATTGGAAGACTTCGAGACATAGGCACAATGGGGTTAGTAGTTTCACCACAGCTGGAATGCTGAGCTTGCCTACCCCTGCTCTAGCAGCCTTTCATAACCAGAGTGCCATGGGGTACCTCAAAAACTTTTACATAGCACCATAATTTTCCACAGACATGTCCATGTGGCTCCTAAGGTGAAAGAGGTTTTTTTTATGTGAAAAAGGGGGAAGGCTTCTGATGTGAAACTTTAAAAACCTTGCACAAGTGTGAACAGAAGACTAGATTGCAGCCTTACCATTCTGAACAACAGAAGCTAGATGTTGAAATGCACAAGAAGTACAAACTGCCCTAGAATAAGGAGCAGAAAAGGTGGTACCCTGTCCTGCAACTCATACGCTTGAATGACAAACTGATGAATCCACTTAGAAATAGTGGATCTAAAAGCTGAACAACCTTTTCTAGGCCTTTCTGGAAGAACAAAAAGAGTCTGAATGTCAAAAGGAAACTATGGCTTAGAGATAACCAATAATAGCCCATACAACATACTAAATAATGGAGAAAATGTCTATTGGAGCAGGACAAAGTGAAGGTAAAACAATGTCTTCAGTTTAATAAAGAGTTGAGACTACCTTGGGTAAAAAGGAAACGTGCGGTCTCAAAACAACCTTGTCCCTATGAAGAACGAAACAGTGTCCTTTAGAAGACAGAGCAGACAACTCAGACACCCTTCTAGCCCAGGTAACGGCCACAAGAAAGGCAACCTTTAAAGGAAAAAAAAAGACAAAGAAATGTCTTGTATAGGTTTAAAAGGAGGCTTTGTAACAAATAAAACCAAGTTCAAATGCACACAGAGGAAAAGGAGACCTAACAGGCGGAGCCACACCAGTGAGTCTCTGAATAAAAGCACGAATGAAGGAATGAGAAGCAAGAGGATGTCGGAAAAAAAAGCCGACAAGGCAGATATCTGACCCCTATGGCTAAATGTTGATCTACCCCAAGTACGAAAAGACAAAATTCTCAATATACAAAAAACCCATGTGGAAGACCCAAAGGACTGACGCCAACGAAAATAAACCTTCCATGTACGGTGATGAATCTTAACAGTAGAAGATCTACGAGCTTTAAGCACAGTCAGAATAACAGAATCTGAAATGCCTTTGCCTTTCAACACTTGGGTTTTAACAGCCGGTTCATTAAAGCCAGGGACTGAGAAGCAGGGTGGAGGATTGGATCCTAAGACGAGATCCCTGGCAGATCTAGAAGAAGCCAGGGATCATCTACCAACGGATAAACCAAATTAGCATATCAAACCCTGTGCGGCCAATCTGGAGCAATGAAAATGGAATTTAATTTGTGTTCTATTCAGCAAAGCAGTCGAGAAAACAGTGTTAGTGGAGGCAAAACATACATTAGTGTGTGCTGATCCTACAGAGCTACTAAGCTACTCTGTACACAAATCTGTTCACCTTCTTGTTGTGAGGAGAAGCCAGAAGAACCAAATCCAGCATTCCCCCGGCAGTGACAAAGTTGTTGAAACACCTCTGGATGGAGACACCATTCGGATCTAGACATTGCCTGCCTAGCAGTTTTCTACTCCTGGAATGACCACAGCTGAAATCGCTGGAACCTGAAGTTCCACCCAATCCAAGATCGGATGTACTTCTGTCTCCACACTTCTGGTGCCTCCCTGGTGATTGAAGTACGCCATCACCGTAGCATTGTCTGACTGAATTAAAAATCGGACACCCCGCGAGAAGATGGATCCAGTGAAACATTAACCCCTTCATGACTGAAGCCTTTTTTTCATTTTTTGTACCCATGTTATATTCCACATTTTAGGCCTGAAAATTACTTAAAACCCCCCAACATTATATATTTTCTGAATGCCAAGACCCTATAGAATAAAATGGTGGTAGTTGCAAATTATGTTGCGCAATATTAGCGCAACTCCTTATTAAACCCCAATATTTAGTGAAAAATTTTATTAAATGCCCCAAAACACAACAAAATACCCATTTTTTAATGAAATATAAAAGATGAGGTTACGAGTAAAACGATACCCAACATGCCCAGGTTACAAATTGCGTGCATCCGTAAAACGGCGAAAAACCCCAGTACCCCAAAAAGTCCATAGAAGACGCTTTAAAAGCCCCCACAGGTCATCAATT